AAGTGAGGAGCGTCTCCCGCAGCCAGGCCTAGGCCTGCTGGCACTTCCCCCTGGAGCTGGGCCCTGCAGGTAGCTGAATGGCTGGGTAGAGGCAGCGGGGCAGAAGGCTGGGATCTGGAGCCAGGGTTGGGCAGGGAGAGCCGGGGAAGAGTGCGGGGGTGAGGATGGAGGCTTAAGCCTGGCAGGGGGCACTTTTGGGAGGCTTAAGCCCCTGGTGGTTGTGTGGCTGCTCTGAGTGTTGTTGCCCGACTGCACCCTGGGGAGTTGGTTGGGTGCGAAACGCTTGGCGGGAGGAATTCCGGGCGCCAGGTCAACCCCATGCATTGCTATGGGGCCTTGGAGACACCAGGTCAACCCTATGCCATTCTAGGGGGATTTCCAGGCCCCAGGCCAACCCCATGCATTTCTATGGGGCGTTGGAGACACCAGGCCAACCCTCTGCCTTTCTATGGGGACTTCCCGGCACCAGGTCAACCCCATGCGTTCCTCTGGGGACTTGCAGGCACCAAGTCAACCCCGTGCATTTCTATGGGGACTTGGAGAGACCACTTCTACCCCATTCCAGCCGGTGGGGACTTTCAGACACCAGGTCTACCCCAGGCATTCCTATGGAGACTTGTCAGAAAACAAGTCTACCCCATTGATTGCTATCGGGACTGCCAGACACCAGGTCTACCCTGTTTTGAAGTGCAGGGTTGGCTTCTGGGACACCAGGTCAACCCCGGCGATGCGTGCGGGAGGGAGAGGCCGGCGAGTCGGAGGGGAGCTCCCTGTTTAAGAGCCTCGCTGCCTGCAAGCCCTCTGCGTGGGCGAGTCACCCGCCAGGCGCCAGGTCAACCCGGGCCTGGGGGAGAGGGAAGGGGAGACTATTGATAGATGAGGAAGGTCCCAACGGGCCTTTGGGCCACCCCCGTCGGGTGGCCGATGGTGGTACCGGCGTCCGGCTGGTGACCGGACAGGTGGCTTGCTGGAACTCTAGACGAAAAAATTCATCAGGGGCCGCCACTCAAAGAAAATTGGGCGGCTGGGCTCCCGAACGTTACATAAATATTACGTGGGACACCTCAAAAGAAAACAGGGTGTGCGTGCGGGGTCAAAGGTTCAAAACAAGTGCTCCCCCGGGGGTCAGTGAGCAGAGCACC